GCGGACCACGGACGCCCACCGGCCCCTCCAGCTGGTGAGTGGGGGCAGAGGTTGCAGTGTGGCCGCAGGGAGGGTGGGCTCTCACGGGCAGGGCGCCCAGGAGTGACGGGAGTGACGGAGCTGGCTGGAGGCGCCCCCAGACAGGAGGGTCCGTGACTGAAAACGTTTGTTTCTGCGGCGTGTCCGAGAGGTGGTCAGGCACGCCTGCTGGAGGTCGTGTAGGGGAGGGCACGGCCCAGCGGGCAGCGCAGCACAGCCTGTGGGAGCCAGCGAGACAGCTTTGCCGGGTGGGTGCCGGCCGTCTGCTGGCAGGGCGCCGGCCCGGGAGACCGCCCGTTGTGCCCGCTGGGGCCGAGGGCGCAGCTGACCCTGCAGTGCGCCACCGGGCTGTTGACAGAACCACTTCCCGACGCTCGCGGGGTCTGCGTCTCTGAAGTGGAGCACTTCAGAGACACGAGAGCCTTCGCAGGGCTGAGCTGAAGTGGGGGCTCAAGGGCGGGAGCCCGCCAGCGCGCGGGGTGTGGGCCACGCGCCCGCCGGGAACCTGCCACCCGCAGCGGCCCGGACCCCCTGAGGACAGGCAGGCCCCCTCCCTTGACATGTGGCCCAGCGAAGGCACAATCTGACTTTCTTGTAAAAACCCAGAAAACGTAAATACTGCCTCAGAAAGAACACAAACTGTGAGCAATTACGGGTTGAGGAATGACTTCACGTGCCTGAAACTGAATGTGCGTCTTTGTGCAGAGAACGATCATTTTCACGTCCCTGTCTAGGAAACGCACGGCGGGCCCGAGACCGGGCCGCACCCGGCAGGCCGGCCGCGCCGGGGCTGCCCGCGCCTGCGCGCCACCGGCTGTCGGCGGCCACGTCTTCCTCAGCGACTGGCCCCGGCCTGGGGCGGGCAGCAGGGCGACTCCCGGTCACTTGTGATAATCTCCTTAACTGAACAACAGAAGTCTCTACAGTGCGGGTGGGTCCCCCAAATATCTGGGTGCCACCAGGGGTCAGGAGCAGGAGTCCCCGCTAGTGAGCCTGGTGTCCCAGAGACCACGCTCCAACGGCCGCCACCGCCCAGCCCCACTCCTCCGGCGCGACTGGGACCCACTCCGCCGGACGGGCGTCCGGGCCACACTCGCGCGCGTGTGCAAGAACGCCTCACACACGGAAGCGTGTCTGTGAAGGCAGATTTTGCTCTAACATCCTTGCAACGAGAAGCAGACAAATTCCAGTTTGTCTTCATCCAATGACACCACGACGCTCCTATTCTAATTAAAAAAATAATTTCTTTTATGGCTCTTCACAATTGGCTGTGCTCCTCCTGCTGAAATCCTGAACGCGAAACACTTCAATCTGCCCAGTCGCCACAAGTTTCTCAGGTAAGCTATTCCAGGACCGCGTTAATTATTATTAAACAAGCAAATGATACACTATTAGGCAAATATTAAAACAAGCATTGCACTCAGGTATTAATTTGCACTATTCACTTTTAAATGCAGCAAATATCTCATTAATTTAATTTTAGGTGCCCAGCGTTTATATTGCATTTTACAGTCGAGAAGGCAATTTACTATTAACTGGCAATTACATACAGAGTGATTGTTAATTCTGCTCCTAAGTGCCAGCCGCTTGGAAATTGTTCTCCCTCTCTAATTTTTGACCTTCTTACAACAGGGGTGAGGCGCGCTGGGAACACGGAGGACGAGTGTGGAGGAGCCGGACGTGTCGTCTGTGACCCCCTCTTTGAATGCGCCGTGCTAATCAACCGCGCGGCCGCCGCTCCCCCCCGGTGACTGTGTCTTCTTTATCCTGAGGGCAGCAGGCGGCGGGGCCCGGATGGACGGGCTGGGCCCGCCTCCCCTCCCCTCCCCAGGGCCGGCCCGTGCCCACTCGGGGATGACTACCCGGGGGTCTCGGGGCCTGCCAACTCTGGTGTTTCTCAGATCCCTGTAAACAGAGCACTCGGGCCTTTCACCCCCCCCGCTTCCCGGCGGGTGGGGCCCCTCCCCCCCGGCACAGCCTCATTATCCCGAGGCCGGCTGCTGGCGGGGAGGTTCACGGGAGGGTGTCCCGGCAGCCTCCGGGCGGGGGACCCTGATGGGAGCCAGATGCCCAGGGGACGGGCCCTGCCCGCAGGGGCTGCGCCCCGAGTCCCCCCGTCACCAGGGCAGGCTCGGCTTTCAGGGCTGGCGCAACCCCCGGTGATTGCCTCCTCGTCCCCGCCCGCGCGAGGGCTCTGCGAGTCAGACAGAAGCTTCCAGGTCAGACGGGTTACGACCCCACCTTTCCTCTGCTCCCTGCGAGCGCGGGCCCGTATCCCTTACACGGCGTTTGAAATGTATATTCCCGGTAATGACTGGGGTGGGGGAGGCCATAAATTAGCCTCCTGCCGGCCCGGGCCGGCGTGCTGAATGGCCTCATTCAAGGCCTTCGTGGGAGAGCTCCCGGCCGAGAAAACCCCGGAGCCTTGGGCGGCCAGGCCCCCGAGCTGCTGGCCCGAGAGGCCCGATCCACTCGGGGTGGACCCCACGTCCACTGTGCGGATGGCAACAGACCCGGACAGCAGTGGCTGCTGGAACCGACTCGGAGCTAAACCCCTTCCCTCGGGGGAGCCCCCCAGACACCCCCAGAGGAGGCCACCAGTCAGGGTAGTGTTCCACCCAGCTGGAGGGCGGAAGAAGGGCCGCAGGAAGGGCCCCAAGAGCTGCCCCAAGACCCGCCCCTCGCACCGGCCCCGGGGCAGGCCCTCGCCGCGGGGCACCCACAGGCCAGCACCCCTCCCCAGCTCGTTTTCCAGCGGGACCTTCGTGCAAGGCGCTCGGCCCAGGGCCCTGCTCTCCCCGCCGGGACCAGAATCCTCAGTGGTCGGCAGGCAGGGCGGGGACGAGGGCCGGACCTTCCCGCCGCCACAGTTCTTCTCAGAGGAGTCACCCCCGCCACCAGTGACCGGCCTGTCTCCCCACCAAACAGCCCACGCGGGCAAGAGGTCTGGTGCCACGCCTGGCTGCCAAAGGACCCACTGAGGCCCTGCGGGGAGTCCGACCACACGGGCCGGACCGTCTGAGGGAGCAGGTGGCCTCATCACGCGCGTCTGTGCAGAGCAGGATGGCCCCGCCCTGCAGACACACACCGAGGACCTGCGCGTCACGTGGAAGACAGCTCCCGAGTGGACAACACACGTCCCTTCCTTTAACGGACCTGGGGCCCCGACAGAGGTCGTGCCTCGGAAACCACCCTTGGGAGGTACCCCTCGCCGAGCACCCCCATGGGCGGGACACGGCCCCTGCGTTCTCCCTGACCCTCGCACACCCACAGGTGCGGCCGAGCAGAAGCGGCACCCAACCATCGGAGCGTGGGCGCGGGGTCCCCCGGCCGACACCAGGCAGAGCGGGTTGGCCAGGAACCCAGGGATGCGTGGCCCCGGGGCCAGCGGTCAGCGCGGAGGGGTCTTCGGAGCACAATGGGCTACGGCGCCCGGCACGCGGGCCCACAGCAGAGGTGCTGAGGGAGGCCCGCCGCCCCGGCAGTGCCTGGATGTCCGTCCCCGGGGCGTGCGCAGCGCAGCCGCCTGCCGGAGCGTGCAGGCACGGCCTACACGGTGCCCCAGTGTATGACCCATCCATGTGCCTTTACATGTTCGCCCACGCCCGGCCCCGCGCACCGGACAAGCTGCCCTCTCTCTGCCTCTGGGTCCGGTCAGGAGGCCGAGGGTGCCCGGAGCCCAGGAGGGGCCCGCACATGCACCCAGAGCTCTGCTGCGCGCACTTGCCCTGGGTCCTCGGGAGGCTCTGGGCTCCTGGGAGGGGGCGGCCCCTGGAACCCCCCACACACACCTTCGCCACCTGGAGCGGTGCTGAGGGGCTGAACCACAAGGCGGCCCCCCCCACGAGGGACCCCCGGTGTCACTGGCAGCCCAGCCTGGCCCTGGGGTGGGCCCGGGTCCGCTGGCAGAACTCACATTCGGCATTTCACACTCACTCAGTCCTTCCTCACAGGGGGGCGGGCGACAAACCTCCACTCGCTCTTCACACTCCAAAGTGGGAGGGACCTCGGGCCCACGTGTCACCTGCCGGCTGGACAGAGGACGGCCTTACGTCCCTGCAGCGGGACACACCTGCTCCGGGGCGTCCTGCGGCTGGTGACGGAGGGCCGCCGGAGCCACGCCGAGGCCCCACCAAGGACCGCCCCCCCCACCCAGGCTGCTCACCCACCAAGGCCATGGCTCTTCGGGGACCAGCCCCTCCCTTCCCCCCATGGGGCGCAGCAGCCGCCAACCGCCATCATATGCAACCTTCCAGACGCTAGTGTTCGCTCCTGCGAGGGCAGACGCCAAAGCGCTAACACGCCTCACGCCCATCTACGGCCTCTCTCAACAGCGAGCTCAGAGGAATCCCGTCAACCAAGCACGCCGGCAAAGGCTTTGCCTAAGACAACTTGCGGATAACGACCATGTGACCTCAGAGGGGACCCTGTCTGATGACTCCGGTGTGTCCGAGACCCTCACAGAAGCAGCGGTGGGGTGTGGGGTGTGAGACCCCAGGTCGGCAGCAGGGACCCGGTCTGACCTGGAGGCCCCTCGTGTACGCGACGTGTGGCCTGGGGCACACGACGGAACCTCTGAACCTGAGTTTGTGCAAATGAGCAGCGGTGGCATCACGGGACGGCCGCCCAGGCGGACCCCCAGCCAGAGAGCTGGACTCTCGGGCAGCCACCTGAAGGAGGCTGGGGCCACTCGTGGCTGCCAACCCCACAGCCTCACTCCCCAGATGGGGCGGCAGAGGTCCGCAAGGGAGGGGCCCGAGATCACGTGGCCAGGGAGGGCTGCACCTGCCCAGGGCGTCTTGCCGGCCGGAACGGGACTCGGACCCCGTGCCCTAGACAGAACACCGCCCGCAGCCCAGGGCCTCCCCCACCACAGCCGCACCGCAGAGCCAGTCTGCGCGGCCCGCAGGGGTGGGCGGCCGCGCTGCCCCGGCGGGGGTCGGACAGAGAGGTGGACTCACCGGTGTAGACGAACCTCCCAGGAGCACCTTTACAGAACTGCTTGGACTTGTAGGACAGGGTGACCTCCACGACGCCAGGAATGTGCCTCGGCGGGGTCTGGACGCGGATGGCGTGGGGCGTTATCAGCTACAAAAACCACACGGTGAGCGGGCTTTCGGCCGCGCCGGCCCCGCGGGGCGGGCCCTCGCCGGTTGGACGTAATTACCAAAATGAGCCAAATTGGGCCATCGTCTGGGAACACCCCCTCCTAGCTGTCACCCCGAGAGGCAGGGCCCAGCGCTCTTTACGGGAAATATCTGCAAACGATCCCGGGTTTCGGTTCGCAGGAAAGGCCACAGGGCATCATTCACATGAAAATTGCCACCATATGTCCCCTTAAACCTGCTCCCGGTAACGCGAGCACTAATTGTTCCAGTGCAGCAGGGACCTCCTGCGGCAGGTCTGAACCCCGGGTGGGGGGTGGGGGTGGGGCGGGGGCGCTCCGTACCCACCCACGGGAGACCGTCCGTTCACGGCGGGGTGGCTCTTGGGGAGGGCACGGTGCGTCCTCCCCCCAGGGATGGCCGTCCAGCCGCCCCGGAGCGGCCCCGGGGGCGGCGTCCGGCGCCGCGGGCTCACCTCGCTCCACACCAGCATCGTCCCGAACACCACCTGGAGGCCGTCGAAGAAGTTGTCGCCGATGATGATCACCGTGGCGCCCCCCGTGGTCCAGCCTTCGCTGGGGCTGATGGCCTTGATGCAGGGAGTGGCTGCGAGCACAAGACAGAGAACGCGGCCTCAGCGCCCCGGCGGCCGTGCGGGCCGCTCTGCTCCCCTCGGGTCGCCAGGCACGGTGGCGGGGGGGGACAGGGGGCCCCCCAGGCGCCACGCAAAGGGCGAGCGTAGATCAGCACGTTGATGTGTTTAAAGCAAACTATTGAATGTTTTATAAAGCAAAGGCCAAACCACGGAATACTAGTGAGCAAGAAAAAAAAAACGACTTGATGTAGCAAATTACGTGTCAGGGCAAATACGACTGTTACAAATGATTGAGCAGTGCGTGTGTGTGCGTGTGCGTGCGGCACGCGGGTCTGTCCGCTCTGCAGTCCCCGGTCCGTCACAGCGCCGCGGAGGGGCTTTCGGGGGGCCGGCGCCCGGCGTGTCGGCCCCCACCCCCGAGCGGCTAATTGGGTTGGGCTTTTCCATCCGCGAACTCTGCCTCTCGGTTCAGAACTTCATTTTCCTCTGTCACTCCACAATTACGACTTTTCACTTTTCATCAGGGGGAGGAAGTCAAAAGGGCTATATTAATACTTTTGTCAAAGGGACACATTTTACATCGGACGCTGTTTGTCCGCGGGAGCCCCTGAGCGGCGGGCCTGACCTCCCTTTGTCTCCGGAGCCCTCAAATTTGCATGAGTTATTACAATGGCGATGCTGCCGGCCTGGCCTGCCGCTGGGGGAGGGGAGGGCGCCGGCTGGGGGCAACGGGGTGCGGTGGGGGCGGAGGGGGGTGGAGGGGCCCAGAGGCCACGGGCCAGGGAGGCAGGCAGGGCCCCCCCCCCACTGCACAGTGCACCCCCACAGCCCCTGAAGGCCGCAGCCCATGGAGGTGGGCTTTGTTCTGCCCTGAGCTCAGCCCCTCGACCAGGTGCTGGCAGGCCCCGTCCGCCGCCTTTGGCGGACTTCTGCAGGCAGGCCCAGGGAGTGGGGGGGTTCCTCAGCCACAGGCTTCTGGCCTTCCCCGCTCAGGGCACAGGTTCTGCCCCCCAGGGTGCAAGGACAGATGCGCAGGCCTGCGGGACGGTGCTGGGGGCCCCTGAGAGGTGCCAGGTCTCCCGCCAGGGGTTGCCCGGGGGCCGTAGGTGGTCCAGGGCCCTGTCCCCCACCCACAGGTAGGAGGCAGCCCCACGCAGGCCCCGGGCCACCCCAGGGGCCGCCATCCTCCCTCCAGGCTTCGGGGCGCTGTGGGTGCCACGCGGAGCAGTGCCTGGGGGAACGGGACCCGTTCTGGGGTTCTCCCACGGCTCCGGACCACCTTTCAGGGCCTTTGTCCAAAACAGTCGTGACGGGTCTTGGCGAACAGGAAGTGGCTTCCCCCTGCTGCTCCAGTTCCCGGCTCACTCCCCGGGCTGTGTGCATGGGGGCGCCCCCCCACCAAGGGCCTGGCCAGACCGGCTCCCATCGGAGCCCCGGGGCCTGCGGCCTCAGACCAACCAGCCTTTCAAGGCCGCGGGCCGGACGCGGCCACACACCTTCCCACGCGGCGTTCTCCGGGAGCCCGCGTGCGTGGCCCCCCGCCGGGTCAGAGGCGGCACCTCGCAGGCGCCGTCTAGTTAATCACCATTAGCCATCGTTGTTGGGCACGCCGCCGACACGGCACCTTCCTTTGTTTGCTCTGATGTCGGCCGGCGGGGGTTATATTTGCTCATTCCGCGAGCGTCTCCCTCTGCAGCAGGGGCGCCGCGCGCGCGCTGGGAACCCGCCCTTAACTAGCGCTGTTGACTTCATGCTAATAAGTTCATACAAATTTTCATTTCTGAGGCTTCCGAATGACATTTGCTTTTCTTAATTGCATGGAGAGCATTTGAAAAGGATCAGCTCTCTAAAGACTGACAAGTCTCCTCCAAGGAGGTGACCTTCATCAGCACAGCCAATTATGGCAAATAATTCACCAAAAAAAAAAAAATTACAGTAAACAAATTTACTTTGGAGGTGAGAAAAGGAAAAAAAAATGCAGGATCCACCGTGTGCACAGGAGACTGCTAGCCGGCAGCTGTGGCCCAGCGGAGGCCGCCGCGTCCCGGAATGTGTGGCGCCGCTCGGAGGAGAGACCCCGGCCTGCCACGGCCTCCCCGCCGCCGAGAGCCCTCTTCCTTCCGCCTGCATTTGCATGCATCTCCATGCGCAGACGGGGGGGGGGGGGGCGTGTGCTCGGTGGGAGCCACAGCAAAAGGCATCGCACAGCCAGCGCTGGGGACCTCGTGGCGTACGTGCACAACACACTCGAGCAGAGGACGGGCTGGCACGCAGCTCAAGGTGGAGGAGGAGCAGAGACGGGGTGGGGATGGGGGGGCCCCGTGTGCCCCGTCCTGCTCCCTGGGCCCACTGTGGGAAGCGGCCCCGTGGGGCCTGGCCGGCCTGCCTCCCCGGGGCGGGGCAGGGGGGGAGACGGGGCCAGGGCTGCCAAGACTGGGGAAGGGGGTGGGGCGCACCTCCCCTGCAGATCTGACATGTGCCACCGTGACCTGTTTTTAACTCCAGGAGCCTCTCGGCCTCCTCGGGAGAAGAGGCGCTGGCTGGGGGCACCCTTGGCCTTGCCCCCCCATGTCTTCCACCTTAGAGCCCGACATGGACGGGCTCGCCCGGGGGGTGGGGGGCGGGGGCTGGGCAAGGATTTCAGAGTGAAAGTGACGCCACTTGACACCAGCCAGGGTGGCTGGCCGGGGCCGCGCGGCTCTGCCTTCCTGTCTTCGGGGGTCCCTCTGTCATCTCCAGGATTCGGTGAGTCCACAGCCTCCCGGCCTGGTCCCCGTTAATCAGCGAGCTCTCCTGAGTAATATCGCAGCATTTGTCACCTTTCTCCGCGTTCACAATATTGAGGCACTCAAACAGGCCTAATCTTGCCTCGTGAAGACTCCTTTGTTCTGCCTGCTAAAACGTCTTGTAATTGTGCTCGAGATGTCCAGATGGCGGGCTGATACTCCAGCTGATAGGATTATACCTTTTACCTCTCCCAGGGCCATCTGTTCCCCTTGACTCGCTCAGGCCCCGCAGCCCGCGTGCGGCCCTCCTTATTGCATAAACCTAACCGCATTACGGCGCTTGGCATGCAAATCGCCCTGCGCTGCAGGCCGGGGGCCGGGCAGGGCTCGCGCAGGGAGGTTCAGACGGGGCTGGAGCCCCTGTTGACGAGGGGACGGGTGATGGGGAAGAGGAGGCAGGGACGCCAGCGTCGGGCCGGGCCGCGCCGGAAGGCGGACGGTTGTTTCCCCTCGCCGGCGTGCAGCCCTGTAAATAATCCGCCTTGCTCTCCGCGCGCGGAGAGGGCGCCGTGGCAGCCGTCCACGGCGGCAGCAGGGGATTCGCTGGCTTGGAAACCATCAGCGAGTGTGTACACACTGCTGGCGAATATGAGATGATGGGATAATGAGGTGTTAGCCAGGAGAGGCTGCACACAGGCACGGGGCTGCCGTTGATGGGGCGCGCTCTCCTTCGAGAACAAGGGGCCGGCTCCAGCCCGCCCCCCCGCCCCCCGCCCCCGAGATGGGTCCGAACCAGGCAGGAGGAGGCTGGGCCCTGTGTGAACGTCCCACCATGGGCCGGCTCTCTGGGAGAAGGCAGCAGGCGCGTGGGGCGCGGTCCTCTTCATCCTGGAGGGGGCCCTGCCCTTCGCGGTAGGGCCCTGGTTGCAACACAAGACGCACGCAGGCAGCTCCCTGTTTGTGCCTGTTTCTCGGAAACCTGTGCGTGCCCCCTCCCAGTCACCTCTTCGCATCTTAAGAGGATGAGTCCCTTTCGGGGGGTCGGGGGGTCGGGCACAGGGCACTTCCATCTCCTTGCCAGAGGGGGACGGGGCCCCGACGTTGATTTCAAAACACCGAGAAACAAACATAGAGGGGAAAGCCTCGTGATGGAGATTGCCTCTACAAACAGCTTTACGACGAGTTGGGTTTTATCTCCGAGGTACCCACTCGTGGCCTTTATTTTCCTAAGCGCGATGATTTTCCGCTCACAGTCAAATGCTGTTCCGTGCTGCTTACAAAAATAAATACGCGTCCGCGGCTCAGATCATCAGAGCTCATTAGAGGAGGCTGAGAGCGGCCCCAGACGCCGACCCAGCACCAGAGGGCTGAGGGCCTCCCGGAGCCCGGCGCGCGGCGGGCTCCGGCTCTCTGGGGAAGCGGGGACCGGGGACGGGGGTTCAACCTTCTTAATTGTGGGCCTCATTAGTGACGGTTGCCAGGCAGAGCACGCACCTAGCTCCAGCGCCCAGGAAGGAGGTAAACAGCACGTCACGGAGGCTAATGACTCTGGGCCCAGGGCGACCTTTAATTATTATATTTTTGTTCTCTTATACCTCCGTCATTAACGGGGAAAAACAAATTAGTTTATTTTTGTGGGCCGCCACAGACGTGCGAACGGCCCCCCAGCCTCGGGGCCGCCTCATGCCCCGCTGGGAGGCTCTGCGTGCCCTCCATCCGCACCCCCACGCCGGGGGCGCGTCTGCAGGGTCCGAGGCCTCCAGGCGGGGGGCGTGTCTCGGAACCGCTTGCTTGGGTGGGCTCTCGGCTCTACCAGACTGCGTCCTGCTGTTCGGTTCACAATTCACTTTTTTTGGAAAAAAAAAAAAAAAAGCTCACGTTCCTTTCTCAACAATTAATGTTGGACGGGGTCATGATTAGGACATGCTGTTTCGTAGAGAAAAGGGACCTTATTTTCTTCAAGGGGACGTGGCCCACGGGCATGTGGCAGGGCGACGGGTGGCTCGTTTCTGTGTCAGACTCGATGCCCCGGGGATCCGCTCCCTGCCCGCCCCCCTACCCCCGCCCACCGGAGTTCTCCTCGTCCAACAGTGAGTCGGGAAGTCGCTTGGGAGCGTTTGGCACCACACACCTGGCACCGTGTTTCCTCACCCCTCTGCCCCGTGAGTGAACTCTCAGTCAACCCCTGCACCCCGCCCCCGCCTGCGTCCATCTGTCCGTCTGTCCAGGGGCAGGATCCAGTCCTGGAGTCCGTCCCGGGGTCCGTCCCGAGCTGATGGGCCCAGCCACAACCCCCCACCAAACATGCACCGTGTCTGGGCGTGACCTGCGGGGGGTGGGGCTCAGGGCAGGCAGGAACGGAATGAAGTCCACAAAATCCACGGAAAGCTCTAAGCAGGAGAAAGCTTAGACACAAACCAGCCAGTTCGGCGAAGGCCCAGCAGCAAGGGACGCGGGGACGCAGAGCCCTCGCTGAGAGCCAGCAGGGGGAGGACAGAGGGGACCCCGTCCCGGAACTCCCTGGGGTCCCCCCAGGCCCTGCTGGGCATGGGCGGGGGGGGGGGGTGGGGTCTGACCAGCGAGGCGGGGGCGGGGGCCAATCACTCAGCATGAACCAACGTAAAGGATGGCGCAAAGGAAAAAGGAGTCACGGCAAATAGAGAGAGACATGTAACGTGTGCCTACCATTCTCCAGATAAGAAGGGGCCGTACCTTCTGACGGGTCGAGGCGGCGCGCCCGCCGCCCGTGTTTGGAGTTGTTGTGCACGAACATGTTGTCGGACACGGCCAGCACGTGGCCGTCCACGTTGACCGTGGTGGACACCACGACCTGCGGAGACGAAGCGGGTTTGGAGCGGGGCCGGCACGGGCCGACCGCGGCCCCCGACAGCGCGTGCGCCCCCGGCCCGGGGTGGGGGAGAGGCGGGCCGCCCGGCACGCCCGTCCCTGTCGGCAGACGGGGCCGGGCGGGAGGTTCGCTTTTGTTTGCTGTTGTTGTGCCTCAAGATTGCTTCCCTTCGCAACCTGCTCCCCTAATTACGGTTTAATCTCCTATTATGCTAACAAGTGAATTCCATTCAGAGAAATATTCTCCTAGCCATTAGCTTCAGAAACACCCCTCTGGCCACTCATTTTAAAGCCGCCGTTGTGATTGATCTGTTCACACGTTGGTGGGGTGGTTTGTCTAATTAAAACTAGTTCGCCGGAGACTGTCCGTCCCCCTCGAAGAGCCGTGAGGCTTCGGCTGCCAGAAGAGGGTCCATGAGCCGGGGGCGACCACTGCCCACGGCCTCCCGCTGGAGGGGCGGGGTCAGCGTCCCGTTACAGGGCATCTGGCGCCGGAAAAGGCCGAGCTGGATGTGGACACTGAGGGGGTTCTCAGAGCAGGGGAAATATCCTCTCTCGAGTCCACTAGTGGCAAGGGCGGCAGAGGAGGACCCTGGTCCGCTCAGGGAACGCTGTCCCGTTGGCATGGGAGACCCCTGTCCCAGGCCCGGGTCAGAGGGGCCGGGGGAGACCGTGCGGAATGGCCTCTTCCTCTTGGCGGAAGTCACAAAGAAACTCACGTGGGAAGTCGGGGCGGGAATGGTGGCCTTCCCAGGGGACCTGTGACCAGCACCCCAGAACGGCACCCATGATGGCCCCAGGGAACGGGACACGGCCACCCGGCCTTGGGAACTCTCTCTCCCCGGGGTGGGCGTGCGAGGCACGTTATTCCCAGAGTAGCCGGGGCAGCAGAGACTGGGGGGCTGGGGGGCTTGGGTCCAAACAGGGGATGACCCTTTGCAGCAGGACCCCTGGGGCTGGAGCCCAGGGTTAGAGGGCAAGGGGCCTGGTTCTTTGCCACGTGCGGGCAGCAGCGGGGGCCAGCACCACCTAGAGACCCTCACCCCTCCCCGGAGAAGTGTGTGGCTTGGGCAGGTGAGCAGGGGCCAGAGGGGTGCCCATCCGCGGCCTCCTGCCCTGCTGGGCCTGCACGCGTCAGCACGCACCCGTGCATGACAGCGAGAAGCCCCGGGACAGGGGGCCGTGGTTAACAACGATGTATCAGCACCTGTCCCCGCCACGCAGCAAGGCACCGCCCGCTGCGACACCTTACTAGCCAGGGAAACCGAGGGAGGGGCGCCCACGGGGCATCTGGGAATCCCCCGGGCTCCCTGTGAGACTTCCTGCAAACCCGAACCCGCTCCAAGCAAACTGCTGGGGAAGCAGACACCACAGTTGAGGGCTGAGGAGAGGCCAAAGCCGCACGCGTGCACGCGTGCACGGGCGAGAAGGAACGTCTCGGGCCCCGCGGGAAGGCTGAAGCGGGCAGGGGGCCCCGCACCCCCAAACCTCCCGCACTGGCTCTCGCCGACCACCCTCTCCCCCGCGGGCACCTCCGGGACGGCTGGAGCCTCCCCGGCATCGGGCCCCTCGCAGCCTTGCAGCATGTGGTGTCGGCATCCCCACGCCCAGGGCCAGGCCCCTCAGCGCCTTCTTCGCTGCCGCAGGGCGGCGCCCTGCACGGCCCGGGCAGGCGGAGGCTCGCACCCACTGCGGTGCCGCTGGCGGCCGCGTGGCCTCTGTGTGGAGCACGCAGGGCTGCCCCCGCCGACTGGGGCGCCCTCCTGCGGTCCATCTGCCAGGCCCCGCCCCGGCGTGCAAGGCAGCCTGTGGACCCAGCCCAGGAGGGTGATGCAGAGACAGGTAACTACAGCACCGAGACACAGCCGGGACCCTTTCCAAGTTCCTGGGCCACAGTACGTGAGAGACCCAAGAAAGGTAAAAATAAAATAAGGGACACCGTCTCGGCTGCCGTCTGCATGTAGGTCAGCCGCCCGGGGAACAGGGAGTGCAGTTCAGCGGGGAGGAAACACACGGGCTGGGCGGAGCGTGCCGGCCGGGGGCGGCCGCAGGGCGCACCTCGGAGAGGGGCCGGGCTGGCGAGACCAGACCGGGTGGAGACACCGCGGAAGCCCCGGCCTGCCGGTGAGTAAACCTCCGAGAGGCGGGAGACGGGCGCCAGAGGCCGCAGCAGAGAAGTGGCCTTCCCGGCCACCGCAGTCCCCGCGGTGACGGACGCTGCGGGGGCCACGGGTGCGCCCACGTGGGGATGCCGTTCCACCCAGATCCATCACAAGGCAACAGGGGGCAGGCCCCGCTGCGGGCCAGCGACACTGTCCCCAGCTCCGGAGCACGCTCTGGGCGAGCCCGGCGCCCTGCTCTGATTGGCTGGTCAGCTGTGAAGTAAGATGACCCCCCCGTGGAATTTCCGAAACCACCTGGAGCAACTGGGTGGCACACTCATCCCGCCCAGCTGTCCTTTCTGTTGCTGCCCAGGTCTTCTCGGGTTGGTCGGGACCCGCAGCGGGGGTGGGACCTGGGACCCAGCCCAGAGCATGTTTCTAGGTAAAAATCAGCAAAAGCATCCATGGGGGGGCGGGGGGCAGGGCACCCTTCACCCTGAAGGAACCTCCTAATCCTTCTCAAACGAAGGCTGGAAGACCAGGAACTCGCCCTTCGTTTACCCCTGACCTCCACCAGCTCTCCGCCTCTCTCCTCGAGGGGGAGGCCTTGGGGCAGACCCGAGGCCCAGGCCGCCCGGCCCAGGCGCAGCCCAGGACTCGGGCGAGGGCTGCGGCAGCGAGAACAGGTCGGGCCGCAGGGGCAGTCGGGCCGCAGGGGCGGGCAGCCGGGCTAGGAGACCTTCCGGAGCGCGCAGAGGCCGGCCTCCGACAGGTGAGGAGGTCCGGCCCCGAGGACACCCTCTCGTCTCGGAAGAATCAATCGGCCAATTGATTCCTGGAAGACTTCCGCGAGAGCGCCGAGTTCTCGTGGATCGAGCGTGCACAGCGGTGGAACCGAGGGACGGGCCACGGGAGGTGCTGGCGTTCAGAGGACTCTCTGAAGAGCGTCTGGAGGGGTCCCTCTGGACACACCGGGGAGACGTACCCAGCCTGGCCCCCAGCCCCGGTGGCCCCGCGTGCTGGGTATGGAGTGCCCGCCCCTGCACACGCCCAGTCTTAGGGGCCGGAACCCGGGCCAGGGTCCCAGAGGTGAGGTCGGCCCCTCAGGGGCCCAGAGTGAGCGGGCGGCCGCAGGGAGGCAGCCACCCTGAGGGGTCAGGCCCCGGTGAGAGCACCCGGCGGGAGGGTCTCTCCCAGGAGCCGACCCTGGCTCACTCCCCGGCCCTCGAGAGCTCGCGACCGTTTCCGGAACGACGGCGGCAGCAGACCGCTGGAACCCCAACCCGGGAGGACCGCGGCCGGGCGTCTTGGAGGAGCGTGTACCTGGAATCTCCGCATGTCTCGAGGGTTGCCCGCATTCTTCAAACAGTTCTGATTGCACTTGAGGAAAAACTTTAGAAAGAATCTACAGAAATACAAAAGAAAAGGTGGACAGTTGTTAGGGTCATCAGACAAAAAATACAAGGTCTTCGACAGGCAGTCTCGCGTGGGGAGCGGCGGGGGCTCCCCCCGCACTGACCCGGCGGGGGGCCCGGCCGGTGGGCACGGAGCCTCGTGGCCGGCCCAGACTCTTCCGCATGAAAGCGGTGACTTCCACGGGCCTGGGCGTCACCGGTTCCCACGTCTTATTCGAACAACCGTGACTTGGACCGGCCGTGTCTCGCCCAGAGCTCTGCCCAACCGCCCATGACCCATCGAGGAAACCGGCACCCCCGGGGGACCGCCAGCCTCCACCCGTGAAGACACAGGAGGCCCAGTCTGACTGGAGTTTCAGAGCCGCCGCCCTTCCGTTAGGGCAGGCACGCCGCGGGACACGCTACCCTGCAAACCTAGCCGTCGTGTATCTGACATTCAACTTGACCTGCACCTGCGGAGTCCTCTCCCGTGGCCCCGCCCCCGGGGCCCACCCCCTGAGGGGCCGCACTCCCAAAGAGGCATCTGGGAAGTCACAACGGCCTGAGTCTGAAGAGAGGACTTGGGGTGCTGTGCCAGGGCCTGCCATGCCCTCGGGAAAGGCCCAGCTGCATTGGCAAGGGGGTCACCCAGGCGCCCCCGGAGGTGACCGGGACACCCGTGCTTGGGCAGAGAGCAGCCACGCCGTCCCGCTGGGAGGCATGAAGAGCCGGGGTCCCGGCAGTGTGCGGAGACGCGCTGACAAAATCACCGTCAGGTTGCCCTCCCCGTCCCCGCCTGCTCGGTGACAAAGGGGGATGCTCTGGCCGGCAGTACGGACCCTGGGAGCCCGGCCGGGCCACCGACCACGGGGACGGCGGGACGCACCCCCGTGCCGCACTGAGCAGGCCACGTGCCCCAGGCAGGCGGTCCTCGGGTGTCTGGGCGTCCCGTCCAGCGAGGCTGCCCAGGGAGCGTGTCCGGTTTCTTCCCAAACACCCCCTGTCCCGCAGGAGGACGGCCCGTTTTTTTTTCTAGAATTCACGAGATCTCCTTGAACTCAACCTGATGTTCCAGGGTCCCTGCCGACAATCACACCCAAAACTAAGACTCCTCAGCAGACCGAGGTCCGTCTTCGGCCCGTGCCCGGCGTGCCCTGGACGGCTTCCCGTCGGGGCACAGGACACGCCCACGGGTGGCGGGAGCATCCTGGCCACCAAGCTCCGTGTCCTCACGTGCGGCGCGGCCTCGCTACCCGAGGCCGGAATCCACATCTCGTGCTGACTCGCCTCACCTACACTCCAGCGCGCGGAGCCTCTGCAGGCCATCTGCCACCCGCCCAGCCCGTCACTTGAAATTCCACCCACCAATTTTTCCTAACAACCGCCGCAATTAAACCGCACGCGCTGCGGCGAGGTAAATTAGGCGCACCTGCGGCCGCTCTGCACTTGAACTGCGTCGGAAAGGGCCTAACAAGGTGAGGGCGTCACAAAGTTACCGTCCTCTCAGGCAATTAGGTTCCCACTTCGGGGACGGCTGCTCGGTGCAATTACGCCGCACACGGCCAGCCGGCTCGGCTCCCGGGCAGGCGCCTGCCGGGACTCGCGGCACACACCGCGCGGAGCCGGCTCCGGGGGCTCCTGCCGCCGACAGGGCAGAGACGCCCGCTCCGGAGGAGCCTCCTGCAAATTCCTCAAGGCCTTTCTAGCCCAGTGCCCCCCAATGCACGGGGCAGGCTCGGGGGTCACCTGGCAGCCTCCGCTGCCCTCGGGTGCAGAAATTAGCCGCACACGGCAGGGTGCCAGGTCCTCGGGGGAGGGGGGGACTCTGGGGCAGGTGGCCTTGCACACCCACTCCGTTTGCAGGGGCCCCGATGCCGACGTCGCACACACGCAGTGAGACCCGAGGGAGAGGCCTGCCACAGGCCGCCCCGGGGAGCAGGACCCCTTCGGGCTCTTGGGTCCCAAGGACACAAACCGGGTGAGGGACAGAGGGGGGCAGCTTCCGCCCCGAGGGGAGCCCTGCGTCCACTCTGCACCCTGCATGGGTCGTTAGGAAGTGAAGGACTCGATCGAGCCCGCCCCCCCCCCCCCCCGCCGCGAGTGGGGTCCGGCCCGTGACCGCCGGCGCTGTGTGCGGACGCGCCGGGTACACAACGAACCGGACGGGCTCGGTGGGACCCGCCGTGCCGGCACTGGGGGAGGGGGAGGGGCCCGAAGGCCGGACGTGGGAGGTCCATTCTCATCCGGTCCTCGATTGCCCTTTAATGGGCTTTTCCTCCGAGAAGTGTCTGACAGCCCCTTTACATACCCCTCTTCCGCAGGCTGGCACACAAAGGACCTCGTCCTCTTGTTAGGGGAGGAAAAATCTCTCCTATGTCAGAAAATCTTTGGCTGGAACACCAATAAACTCTTTATTACTGCTAACTGCGGACGTGCGGCTCGATGGCAGGGGCGATAAAAACTCTAACCTGTCATTAGCGCATTATGCTTAATTGTGTACATTGCCCTTCCCATCGCAGCTGCCGGCCCATCATCAAAATGACCACTTTGTACACTAATTCCCTGACCCCGTCTTTATTTCCCTAAAGAGTCGTCATCTTTCACAGTAGGTACCAGCGTAAATCAAGCCTGAAATATGGGCTTTATTTACTTGTTTCTCCCAGGCAGGAGGGAGGCAGTGGCCCGGGGTACCCAGCGCACCCGTCCCAACGCCCCGGCCCCGTCCCGCCCGCGGCGAGGTGCAGAGCCCTGCGGAGCTCCCAGGCGCGGTCAGCGGGGGGAGGTGGGACCTCGTTGCTCCCGAAATCAGACTTTCTCCTCCTCGGAGCGTTCGGGGGCCAGTGGAGGACGCCCGTTGGGAGAGCTCGCTGGCTCTGCGAAGAGCAGGTGTCTGGGGAGGGTGCCTCTCACGCAGGAGCACCCTGTGAACTTGGACGTGGGGCCCCTGCCCACTGGGTCCCGCGGCGGAGGCCTTGAGTTGGAGCTGGGAGTCCCTAGGCCACCCCCCGCCCCCGGCTTCTCTGCACGGACGGTGACTCCACGGCTCCAGGCAGAGCTGCGGCCACGGCCGTGCCCACGGTGGGGAAGTCGAAAGCGGGGTCCTGGGAGCGCCCGCGCCAGCGCGTGGCCGACCAAGGGCCTGAGACGGGTCACGGGGGGCAGCACCGGAAGTGGGGTGCCCTCCGCGTCCCCGCAGCACGGGGCGAGCCCCCACCGCGGGAACCGACCTGGAAGCCGGCTCCCTATCTGTGTGTTTAAGCTATGAATTAGTTCATTTATATTTACTTTTATGAAGCTGATTAACCAGAGCTCCTCTGGCTGATGAAAATCATTTTAATTGTAGTGCGAGGCTCCTGTGTAATATCCATTACATTATGAACTGTTTAAATTCTACATGGGTATTGTGCAAATTGGCCCTCGGTGAGGGCGCCGGCAATTAGGCCCGAGCGGCGCTCCCGCGAGCGGCTCCAGAACTTTGCGGCATTGTTCAGGACGGTCGGAAACAAAGAAGGCTGTTTAATTGTAATTTAATGGAATATCAAGGAGTCCGCGGCATTAGACGCTGGCAACAGAGAGCAGGAGAGAAAAATTAACTGCAATTAGGTTTGATTAAAGCTATCTTTCTCAATAATCAGCTGTCCTGACAGGCCGCGGGGCTCTCGTGGGTTCCGGGATGGCGAAAGGTGTTGAGCAATATTAGGACCAATAAAGGGGATATTAGCATAGCTAATTAGAGCCCTGCAAAACCTGTAAAGGGGGCCTCTGTGTATTGTAATGTGTGAAATAATTGGCCGAGGCCGTTATCAATTACGCAAGGAATGAATTCGGTTTGTCAGAGGAGAGTGAGGGGCGCGGTCCGGCTGGCGGCGCGCTGGCCCTCCCGGCGCGCCCACTCACAGCCAAAGCCACGGCCTACCAGGGGCCACATCGGTGGCAGCACTGTGGCCGGGTCACCGGGGCCCCTCGTCCTGCCCGCCGGCCCCCAGACGGCAGTTTCCCGCCCAGCTGCAGCCAGTCGCCGCGTCCCCACGATTCCGTCCCGTCGGGTCCGAGGAGCACCGGGTCGTCTCCTGGGGAAAGGGGTGGGCGTGGGGTGGTGCTCCCCAGTGACCGGGAGCGAAGGGGGAGGCCGGGAGCAGGTTCCCCTGCCTTGTGCACGTGGAAATGTACGTGGAGGTCACCTGCGTGAAATCGCCTGCTGTCCGCGCCTCAGGAACCTCACGCGTGGAAATTTGTTTTTTTTAATGTTTAGTTGTTACTTGTGAGCCTCTCCCAGGCGCAGCCTTGCCAGTGCTGGCCAGCCTGCGTGACGGCGACCCGGGTGGCCCCCGGCGGGGGGGTGCGCGGGGGCGGGGACTCCCAGGTGTGCGTGCACCCTGGCACAGGTTGAGTGCCCCGCGGAGGAGGGAGCCCTGGCCTCCACCCGAGGCCTCCCGCCCCGGACGCCCCGGACCTGGCGGCTGACCTCCTCTTCCGGGCCTCCATCACGGGGAACACGGCGTCTGAGTCGAGGATGAGAAACGCCGCTCTCTTTCCTGGGGGAGGGCGCCCGCGCCGGCTTCAGCCAGAGCTCTTAACGAGCAGCGACCGAACGCGGCCACGGGCCCCCGCGCCATTCATCAAAACCCCCCGGCGTTCGCGGGCGAATCCCGGCGCTGACAGCTCCCCGGGTCCCCGCGAACGGCGGAGACCCCACGGCGGGGCGGGGCCCCGCGGTGTCAGCCCCCGAGTCCGGAACGCGAGGCCAGGGGGCTGGTTTCACGCGTGACAACCTTGGCAAGAAAACACGAGCGTGGAAAACCAACCGGCAAAGGCAACTGTGGAAGTCACCACCCCTGGGTGGGGGCCGGGGGCCGGGGGGGCCGGGCGAGGCTGCTGAAGGGACGGACTCCAGGGCTTCCTTTCAGGGGGGCGACAGAAGCCTCCGGAAGCGGGTGGGCGAGGGGGCTGCGCAGCCCTGCGAACAGAGTCACGGCCCCTGAACGGTTCGCTTTGAAATGGTTGATTCCCA